TTTCCAGTCTCTCATCTTTTCTTTTCTTGTTTTATCAACAGGCTCAAAAGGATGAATTATTGGATGCTTCTTCCGTGCTCCTGTAAATGGCGGTTGCGTATGAAGTGATGGTATTTGACCTCTTTCACTTCTTCTTAGCTCAATATTATCTGGATGAGCTTTATTCTTCTTTTTAAGTGGAAGCTCAACATCCTCATTTTCCTACACACCAAGAAAATAGTTTTTTTTACAAAGAGTTACAAATAGAACAAAACTTATAAAGTTTAAAAAAAACCCGGGTGTCTGGTTGTACCAATCTCTTTTTAACTTTCTTTAGAGGTTGGATAACAGGAATCTCACAGACATCACTCATAAGAACCTGATTCATGCAAATCGTTTTTATGAATATCTACATGTGAACCTTTTTTATCAATCATGAAATAGTGTATAAAATACCTCATTTGCACCCTTAACACTAAGACGACTTTCTTGGGAGAGAAGATCAAATTTAGGTGTTGTAAATGTTCGAGTAGGCGAAGAAACCTGCAAACACAGATCAATTTAAACTAGATAAATAAAATTTTTACAAGGCCTTATAAAATAATTTTTAATCTATACCCTGTATCATAGTTTGGAGTATTGAATGTTTGAGTAGACGACGTGACCTACAAAAAATAAGAAATGGAATTTTGGCAAGCCTTAAATCAAAAAATTTATAAACCTATATATATCCTATGTTTAGATTTTATACCTCCGTCTTTTGTTTCATGGAACTTCCTTCTTCAACTTTTTCTCTGACCACGTCTTGAGTGATTTTCTGTGTATTCTCATTTTCTCCAAGAATACTCTCTTCTTCCGTTAAAACCTTTGTATCACATATCTCTTCTTCAACATCAGTTCCGCTACTTCTATCGTCATGTTTTTCCTCTTCGTCAATCGGAGCTTCTTCATTTTCATCATCATCAGCATCATCACCAGAAATGGCTACATTACTGAAATCTCTTCTTTATCACCAGATTTTTCTTCTTTGTCAACTGAAGCTTCTTCATTTTCATCATCATTATCACCAGAAGTAGCTCCATTCTTGCACTCTTCTTTATCCATTGAACCGCCAGGAAACTACAAAAAAACATGTCAAATTGTTAGAGAGAAAAAACATATTATTATTTTTTAGAAATTCTTGGTAAAATAATTTGGTTACATTAATTCCTAAAAAATCTTGGATTGTCTCTACTCGCTTACCCAGACCTTGAACCATCTGTATTAGCTCGTCGAGTTTTTCACTGTCAGTCTTGGGATGGTTTTCATCTTGTTCCTTGTCTCTCTGATTTTCTTCATCTCTCTGATTTTCTTCATCTCTCTGTTTTTCTTCATCTCTCTATTTTTCTTCAACTTCATCATTGTCTAAATCTTCCTCATGCACTTCATCTTTTTCTTTTGTTCTTCTTTGCTCACCTATGGCTTCTGTTGCAACAAAAATATCAACAAAACCTTGTTCCCAGTCTCTTTTCGTCATTTTGTATCCTATGAGAACCATGTTTATAATGCTATCAAAGTCCGAATCATCCTCATGTGTTGCATTGACCAGATGTTTGTATTCGTTAGGAGATCCAAAAATTGTATCAACCACAACCTGTAACAAAAAATAAAACATGTCTTTAAAATTTTATAATCCCTTGTAAATCTCATATTTATAAAAAAATTTATAAGACCTTGTAAAACCATTTTTCCTGATCTTTTGTGAACACCACAGCTTTTTCAATGAAGCCATGAATATCTCTAGAAATATTCTTTCAAAAAATTTTCTAATATGATCATACGGAATAATTTATAAACGTTTATAAAAACTTACATTATCTATCTTCTCTAACGCTGACACTTAGGTTATGGTCTTACTCTTTGTTGACTCCCAATGCAGAATGAGCGGATCTGATGAAGAGGACGTCTCGCATGGTTTTCCCAATGATTGGCCAAGAACACTCACTGAGGACATTGCCCATATGTTAATGGCGATGACAAAACCACTTACTTCATAACTATCTCCTAACCAGGAACCTGAATCCAAGCTTTTAATACTCTTTGACAAGACATTATATGCAATTCTACCCCAATCAACTTTGGGAATGCGATAGTTCATGTAACTAATCAGCCTCTCTCTCGGGATTAGAGTTCCTGTCTTTTCTGCAATAATTACTCCTTCTNCTCTGAAAACTCAACACTTCTTCTTCTCACCAACTTCACTACGTTTCCAATGTGGGAGTTTTCTATCTGAGCAAACTCCTTCTTTCCTAAAACGGCAGCAACCTTTTTCACATACTCCATTCTTGAGTGCTGGATAATGACCTTCGGATTATCTGGTGGTTCTATTCCAGCTTCATAAACTCTCTCAGGCAAACGCATGGATGGGCAAAATTCATTGCTATCCAACTGCTAAAAAAAATTCAACATGAATCTCGTATTTAGAAAGAGTTGTAAATTCAATAAAACGATGATGTTACTTTTATTCAACGATTACAGAATCAAACACTAATTGATTAGACGGATCTCAAAACCACATAAAGGATCGAACAAACACTTCTTCGTATTTTAGAAAGGATTATAAATTTACAAAATCTCACCTCTTTCCCTTAGATCGAACAAACAGATACAAAAAATTGGAACTTTTGTATACAAACAGATTGTATTCGAAGAAGATCTAATCTAGTAACTTACAAATTTAGGATTGGATTGAGGAGTCGACATTATTCTCCGGCGTCGATGAACAAGTTACCCGGCGTTGATGAACACGTCACCGGCGTTGATTTACGCGTCACCGGCGTTGATTCTCTGTTATCTTCTTCGTCGCACTTTTGTGAGAGAGAGGTGGCGGATCTACAGAGAGAAAGAAAATAGAACGTAAGTTAGGGAAGAGTAGTATTGTTATCTTGTCATTAATGAATTGTGTATTATGAAAATGTCCCTTGAGTTGTGGTAAAGTTGAATTGTGGTATCACAAAAATGGTAGTTATGCAATTTTCCCTATTTTGATTGGTTATAATTGATGAGGTGAATTTAAAGTTTCACGGTGTCTAAAATTGCTGATGTATCAATCTCGTTCGTATTAATTGTTAATGAAATTCTTCGCATTTATTTTCTCGTATATAGTTTATAGCCCACTCATAAAAGCATCCCCAAAGTGCAAAGATATATATCTTGATCCCCAAAAAAAAAAAAAACAAGTAAACGAGTCTATGAGCTTTATTTTTACTTTTGTGAAATTTCTGTTGTTAAGACTCTGTAAGCTTTACGTTGTCAATTACAACCAGACCAGAGATAAACATTAATTTGGTTAAAACTTCGATATTGTCTAACCGGTACAATCAATACTAAAAAACTATTAACGTGAAAAACTTAACCAACAAGACGAAAGGAAATAGAAAATAAATAAATGACCGTTAAAGATGAGATCTCCTTAAAGATTTTATTTGTTAAAGATTAGATCTTTGGCGAAAAAAAAAAGATCTAGCCGAGGTGAAAAAAGGAAAGTAAGCACTGGCATCTACGCGTTTAGTTGATCTTATAAATACCAAACACACACTTACTTACTATTCAACATCGAGTCAACGGCTCAAATGCCCTTACTCAAAAAATTTAAATCACTTATATCCTCCACTAATCTTTATATCCTGCACTATTTAATAAAAATCCCAAATAAATCACTCCCAAACGATCAAAACTAAACAAAAACCTCCCCCCTATGGATCAGTGAACCCATGGGTAAATATTTAAATTCTATATGTTTCAAATTCGAAAAAAAAATATTTTAAAATCGTTTTTAATCATATTTTGATGATTTTCGGAAAAATATGAAAAAACAGTTTTTTGATTTTTGAAATATTTTTATCAAATTCTATAAATCAAATAAAAAATATTGACGTTTTCATTTTAGTTTTATGATTTTTCGTTTGACATATAAAATTAAAAGAAAAAAGTGAGGACATTTGAGCTTTAAATTTTCCAAATAAGGGCCCTTGAGGCAATTACTCATTCAACATCTCAGTTTTGTCTATCTCTCTCACAACAATCTTCCCTCTCTAAGTTCTGTTCTCTCAAAAAAACGATGGATACAAAATCATCAGAGAGATTCCTCGATATCCAAGCGATCTCTAGGGTTCAAACTTCATCATCGTACTCCTCAGAGGTTATCATCTATCTTATTAAAACTGTAGTGGTTTGTTTGGAAACTTAAATAGTAGTAATAAATAGTTTAATGTTGTTTGGCTATAAGTTTAATAGAGTTGAGTTTTTAAACATTGTTATAATAGAATTTTTGGCTTTTGTTTAATTTATTTTATGATATGATTGACTTTAATCATTTAGCCCATTGTAGTAATTTGTGTTTTTAGTTTATATTTTATATAAAGACCATATTCATTTTATTTGTTGTTGACTAAATTAAAAATAACATCAGTTTTTAAGATAATAAAAGTTTACATTTCAAATAATTTAATACTCAAATATTTTTTATCTAAAGTATTTTACATTATTCAAATTATCATAAAAAACATAAAATACTTGAATAGTTTTAATTAAAATATTAAAATTTTGTTTTCGTAACTGGATATTTATCCAAAACACATCTCCTCCACGAAAATCAGTTTTACCCCGATTAATCTAAAATTAACCCTAGAAATTGTAACCAAACCGTTATCATATTGGAACCAAAAATTAATATGATATTAGTCGGTTATTATAATTGTTACCAAACCCATTTCAAACCAAAAGAATCAAACCGGACGCAAATCAATTTATATAGATAACTGAACAGATCTTATATTTGTAGAACTAAAAAAACTGCAAACATAAAAAATTCAACAAAAGTTAAACCCAAAATCAAACCCCAGTCCTATTACATTCAATACAATCACAGTTTCTAAAATACGGCAATAACCGATCACTTATGAGTATATTATGCTTTCCCAAATTAATTTAAATTTACGCCGGTGTGCGGGTCACGATCTAGTCATCTTTTACAAGATAAGCGTAGCGGGTCTGTCATCGAAACCCTAGGCTCCTACCCGGATCCTAGCTGTGACAACGGTTCTACTCTCTCATTTGATTTCGATAAGTTCATACCGAAATACATCTTCCGGGGTCTAGCCAAGGAATTGAACGGCGACAGCGACTTGTCAAGGAGCATAATTCATCGTGTTTTGACTGAATCTCAACGGAGAGACTTGCCGCAGGGGCAACCGCTGCTCATCACCGTTCTTGTGGAATCGACACGCAAAGTGTATTTGGAAAGGGAGGAGATGTGTGCCATCAGTCTTGACGATTTTGAGAGCAAACCCATGAGCATGTTGCCCGGTTGTCTCCATCAGTTTCATAGAGAATGTCTTGATGAATGGATTAAACGAAGAGGCCATGACTCTTGCCCTCTCTGCCGCCATCCTGTTGATTTTTAATTAGGTTTTTTTTTTGTTTTGACAAAATTAGTACGATTTTTGTAGTTCATCCGTATCTCTCAAGTATAATTAGGGTTTTGGACATGTCTACTGTACTCAGCTCATAAAGGTTTCTCATTTGTGTGTGTTTATGTCGTACACAATAATTTTGTTGTTTGTTGGTAACAGTTTATGATATATATATATATATATGCAGTAATCTTTTTCTTTGTTTTGAAAATCAAGTTTATACCCACCAGCATCTCACATCCAATGTTTGAAACCAAACTTTGTTTCTGCTAAACTGAAGCAACTCTCAAGATGGTTGTCTTTACTTCATCAAATATTGTGTTTGTATTTATCACGAAACAGATCAACTGAGTAGCAGTAAGGACGATCCCCCAAAAAAAAAAATCGAGCAAAAACAGAACGAGACAGGGCTCAAGTGAAAAAGACACTGAAGGTTCCTGGTTCTGCAAAAGGCAAGAACGAGACACAGGTGAGATATTTGTCTGATGCTGATCACTCTGTTGAAACATCAAGCAATACTCTTGCCATTTGAGTTCTTAGGTTTGGGATATTATGAATTTATTATATACTGTATTAGTAAGAACAGTGCATCATGGACACGATCCATATTAAGCTTAGAAGATCAAGACAAAGATATTAACAACATCCTACATGAGGTTCATCCGTTACCTGAATGTCTTCTCGTTGGAACAAGTAGGTCACAGTTAACCCTTGACACCCTCAGGTTGGGGAATGGGGAGTCTTATCCCTTAAAAGTCCTTGTGAAACACAAGAAAAAATGCCAAATGCATCAGTTTTTTAAGCCCTGTTTCCTATAATAAAATACTCTATCCCATACCGACAAAAGTCAAAATCGGGAGCACATACCACAAAATAGAAAAGGAAACGTATATATCAAATCCCTTTTTATTGTTCCCCTTTAAACATCATGTTTGGATCTCTGTGATTCTAAGGAACGGTATACAAAAACAAGATGAAGTTTGGCGCAAGAGTGGCTGCAGATGAAGACTTGGTGCTCCAGTTTGTAAAAGCCAAGTCCTGATGTGTCTTTCTTCTCGTCTTAATTCATCTAAAGAAAGCGCTAAATCTATAGAAAAATATTGGAAAGTAAGATAGGTTGTTCAGCAGAATCTCTGGATGCCATAGGTGTGGTGCAGCGAAACGCATGCCACTATCATGTCTAAGAACCACACACACAAGAGTAGTCCAAACATATTCTCTAAAAGAGACAGACAGATCCAAACAACTTTTCGTAATAACTCCAGAATATAATCAAAAAGTCCAGAATAATGTAATCTTTCAGGGTTTTAGGGTTTCGGATAATATAACAATTTGAGAAGCTTTTTTCATGGTGGCACAAAGTACAGAGATACAATAATAGATGTAAAATAATGTTGAGGAATAACTCACCAGAAAGAACTCTGCATACTTCACTAGCCAGCAGATGACTCCTGTGGAAGCTCTGATTCGCTTGATTCTTCTGCATTTATATCTTTCAACATTTTCCTTATAAGACAAAACTAACATCGGTAGCCATTAACATACGTAACACAACACAACTGTGTATCCTATACTTATCTTTCAACTATAAGAACAAAACGAATCCTGTTAACACTAGTCCACAACTTTGACTGGCTTCTTGAGAAGCTGAAGGGGATAACATGAACTCCCTTAGAATACAACATCAGAGATATTTCCCATTTATCGCTACAACTATCTTGAATAAACCTTTGTTTCAACATATAAAAAAACTTGCAATTGACAAGTGGAGCTAATTCCCATGTGGACTTTGAATAAAACGAAACCTCCATTGATATGATAGAACAAAAAGGGATGTTATTAAGCTATGATTTCTAAACAAATGCTAAAAGACTAGGTTACATACTGCAGCTATTACATGATTGACACTGTGCCTTTGCACCAGCCTCAGTATCTCTGCCAAAACTCAGTATACACACAAAGCTCTAAAATTCTTTTGAGATCGCCAATTACTTGCTAATCTTACAACCAACAACCAAATCTTTATAAGGTTCTCTTGGGATTTTGAATAATCTACACTAACCTGCTGAACTCAACTTAGACAATATGTAACATCAACATTTCTTTCACACCTCCAAGTCTTGTTCCTTGAAAGACCGCATGGAGATTCTCTCTAGGAGTGTTGGCCAGTCTTCTCCCAGCTGGTGTGGATTTAACTCCATGGCCGTTCTAAAATCAAGTAGAGAGACAGGATAGTGATCCTGTGTTCCGTTAGGAGTTTGTATATGCAAACTGTTACTCCCATTTACAACCTTATTCTGACTCTGCTTCCTGGGATCCCCTCCATTTGTGGACCGAGCTCTGACCAAATCAATGCACGATTTGATCAGCTTCTTAAGATAAACGTCCAACAAGGCATTCAGCGTATTAGCACACTCCATGGAAACCCCTTCAAGACCCTGTGCTATTGCAATATCCTCCATCCTTTTCCTCAGCATCTCTGTGTCTGGTAACCCACCACTGTCGTAGCAACTCATCACGGTTGAGACAGGAACCCTTCTACGGGACCCACCACCGACACTAGCTAAACAGAACTGAATCCCTAGAGGCGCAACTAGAGGACTAGCTAACAGATTTAACCTCACCTGATCCTCTTGATTATCTCTTACAGCGGCAGTTGCAACCTGATCTTTACATTGTCTTCTCAGTTTTGCAACGGGACGAAGAAACTCACCGTCTCTTTCACCATCAGCACCATATCTTTGATGATTAAATCGTCTCAAATCATCCTTCTCCATACCAACACTATTGTTTTCTTCTCTACAAAGTGGCTGTACTTGCAACACATGTTCTACTGGACTATCTCTCATCTTCCTCTTGCGCACTCCCCCGTTGGACCAAACATGGCCATTCTGGTTAGGAGCACTTTGTTCTGGACCATTAGCCACAGGTTTGGTCAGTGGAGGTGGGGACTTGGAGACAGATGCGTTTCTCAAGATGGAACGTATCAAGTGGTTGTGTAGAGAGAGATTCTCCTTCCCTAACAGCCTAAAACATGTCTTGTCAAACTCGCCCTTACTAAGCTTCTGGCTCAGAAACCTACTTAGGTAATAAAAATACCTTTTACATCTTTCAACACCAATCTTCTTCACTATCTGCCCTTTCAATTCACCAATATTAATCCTCTCATCTTGAGAGCGTTTCATGATTTACTAACCAAAAGAGAACTCTCTCAGCTTCCAAATGCAAACTGATTTGAATTTAAGCTCTTTCCTTTTTGTGCAACGACAAATCTCATCTCTTTTCAAGAAACCTAAGCTTTTGGTAACAGCAAAAGGATCCTCCTCTTTCACGAAAACTGCACCAGCAAAGAAAGAACCAAACATTGTCAACGCCCAATCTACAAAGGCAAAAGCTCCAAAATTTATAATAAAAGAGTAAATCGAGATCAAGTTTGAAAATCCAAAAGCTTTGGTAAAAAAGAAAGGCCCAAACATTGTTACACGAATTGGGAAGATGAAATTCGAATGTAAGAAGGAGAACAAGAGGCAATGAGGAGTTAGAGTAAGCAGGAAAAGCAAGTGTTAAAACATATTTGATTCGAAGCAAAGAAAGATTGACAATGAATTTCAGACAAGAACAAGAACTAAACTTCCGACCAACCTTTTGTTACTTCGAACTCCGTAACTATTTGCTTCAATTCTATGATAAACCAAAATCTTGAATTGCTTGCTCTTCGTGGCTTTCTCGTAATTGAATGTTGGAACTTCTGCTCGTGTGTTAGTTTAAAGCTTCGATCTTGCTTGTTGGTTTCCTCAGTTTTCCTTTCTTTTTTTCTGTTTCATTTGTACTTTTTCTTTCCATCATTTTTATTACTAGTCAATGACTAAATCTCTTATAATTTATGAGTTTGGGATCTTGTTGTCCAAAAAAAAAAAAAAGATCTTGTTAAACCATTTTTGTTAAACCATTTTTAACACAAAAGGTCAAAAAGTAATGATATACTAATATATTGCTGATAATTGGATAAGTTTGGGATGCATTAAGATTTATTCAAGAGTTTACTAGATTTTAATGGATTTAGATATGCAATTAAATTAATTACTTTAATCAAAATTACAAGTTATTCAACCAATGATTTGTGGATACATATTAGAACCTGATGTTATTCAGTCTCACTAATTTAATTTAAAAGTGGATTTAGACATTTATACATAGTACAAAAATATAATTCTGAATGATACCATATGGATTTAATTATGATATTTAAAATCAACTTGTATTAATTATAAAACTTTATAAATCATGTCTGAATTTTTAAACCATTTAAAAATATAAGTACAATCTTTAATTTTAGAAACTAATAATCAACTAATCAAAATTTATAATTATGAAAACTATATTATCATAATTCATTTTATCAATTATGAAAATAAGTACACTATTATCACAAATAATTTTATATGGATAACAAGTATCCCTGAAAATATATGCTAGACCACCACAAACAACTCTTTTTAAGTCGTGCTAAATTTTCATCTAAACTTGTCCTCCTTTAATTTGAAATAAATAACTGTTACTCCCTCCGTTTCAGTTTAATTGTCATTCTAGGTTTTTGTAAACAGATTAAGGAAACATTTAATTTTACATATTTTCAATATAAAAACACAATTACCAATACACCTAACCATTTTTTAACCAATAGAAAAATAGATTATAATATAAATCTAATAAATTTTGCCCCGAAACTTTAAAACGACACTTATTTTGAAACAAAAATTTTCCTCTAGAATGACATCTATTTCGAAACGGAGGGAGTATTTTTTATTTTTTTGTAAAAGCATTAATTAATCTTTTCTATAGATGTGTACTCTATTAATTGTGAAAAGTATTGTTTGGGGTTTCTAGTGTAAATGTCTTAATATTGAAAATGAATTTTTCACTCGATCGCTCTATTTTTTTTTGACAAGAAATTGTTAGAAATACCACAAGTTAAATACTATTTTATAAAACAACCACCAATCAAAACATATACTAACATTTTAGGTGAGTATTGTTCAGGTTTAATATTAAGAGTTTGGGGTTAGATTTATAAATGTTCTATATTTAAAAATTAACTTTGTGTTATTTTATCACAAATTTAGGATATTTATGAAAATAGTCATTTATAACTGGTAAATTTGAAAAGTAGTATCAAATTTGAGGTAAAATTGAATTTTTTTTCTTTTTTTTGTTATATCCCCTGGAACAACAAAATAAGCAAAAAAAAATCTTGAGGTTATGAAATTCCGTTGATAGTTAAAGCCTATTTCAGGTTATCAATAGTTCATCATGCAAGTTGGAAGCTTAGAGCATTTTCAATATGGAGTTCACCTATAAAATCTCAAAATACATATGATATTAGTACTTAATTGTGGACATTTTAAAGCCACGGAAAAAGCAACTTGAAATATTTACTGGAGATGTTTTATATTTCTGAGATCAGTGACAATGTGGATTTTAAAATTCACATTTACAGAACTGACTTGTAGACTACAGGCTGGACCATTTGAATGAGCCCTGTTTATAGGCCATAATTCCAAAAATGTTAGATATTTATAAATGTATATATACTTTATACTTGTGATACATAAAAAAATTTAAATATATAGTTAGCAAAAAAAAATTTATAAGAATAAATTTTATATTATATTTTAATAAATTAAACTTCGAAAATTAACTATCCAAATAAAATCTAGTTTATTTTTAAAATAAAAATTAAATTTAAATATTTTGTTTCGTATAAAATATCCAGTTCGACTGTGCACATGTAGTTTATTATGTTTTTCCATTTAACCTTGAACTATATTTGAATATATCAATAATGATGATAATTGTTATGAGTATGTAGTTATAAATATTCAAAACTATATATAATCCTTTTGAGGCCATTCTTATTGAAAATTCAGTAACAACGTGGCTAAAATTTTCGTTAAAACTTAAATTAAAACTCACATAATAGACGATTAAATTTTTGTTAAAACTCAATTTTCAGTTCATTTAAGAGAAAATAAATAAATAGATCATATACATAAATTTAGTCATAATATATATACGAAATTTAAGATTTCATAATTTATATACAAAATTATAATTTATATTAAAAGTAATCCATGTCAACTAAAAAATTAATCTTGCGTTTTGGTCGAAATCTGGTTAACGTTTTAACAATGATGACAAAAAGTATGAATTTGTAGTTAAATAAAAATGGACCATGGATATGGGATTTGTGTCGTGCACTGGACTGGTGGTTACTATAGAGTGAATTTGTAACTTTGTCTTGATCTTCTATGGTTAAGACCAACGAGAATTTTTAAGTGGGTGTCTTAGAGTAATCAGTAAGTAAAAAAATAGTAATTTAAGAAATTAACCATAGGTTCTTAAGATGTGGTTCTTAGCGGAAGTTAAAAAACTGTTTCTTAGCTTTTAACTAAAAACCAGTTCTGAAATAAGGTATTTAAAAACCGGTTCTTAGCGTTTTTAGTTAAAATTTAAGAAACAGTTTCTTAACTTCTGCTAAGAACTCCGTCTTAAAAACCTCGGGTTAATCATGCTCTAATAAAGGTTAAGAAACGTCTCTTGGGAGACACATGTTACAATTTGAGAGAGTTTTGTGCGTTTATATATATCTCTCTCTGGATGGTTCAATTCTCTACCTCTCTTTGGGTGGATCTCCTCCACGATTCAACACTCTGACTCTCTTTCGGTTGATTGCCTCCACGAAACGACACTTCTCTCCCTCTCAGTGGCTCTCCTCAATGAAGGAAAATGACGACCTCTCGTGGTAGCTCTCCTCGACGAAGAAAAGGCAAACCAATGACAGTTGTCACCACTTACGATTACCCTTCTGCCGTTCACATCCATACGGCTGGGATCGATATTTGTCTCGTCAGAGATTCAGCTTCCATGGTTGTTCATGGCCATGAAACGACTCTTCCTATCTCCTTAGATGAGATGTCTTTCATTGCCACGCCATTGTTCGTGGAGCCAAAAGGCCTCTTCTTGTCGGTGATTTGCCCTTTGGTAGGTATGAGTCCAGCACCAATCAGGTGAGTAATACTTAAAGTACAGTCAAAATGGGGATGCTTTTGTTTAGCTAATCTCTTTGGAACAGAACCAAGTTGTGTTCTTTTGGCCCTTTGAGACTTGTATTGTTTGAGTTAAGCATTAGTTTCGTCATTGATTAAGTTTTAGTTTGCATGATGATCAGGTGGTTGATAACCCTTTCATTAGACTAGAAATGTGGATGCTTTTGTTTAGTTATATCTGGAAGTTTTTCAACAAATGTGTGGGAAGAGAACTGATGATGGTTAGATGTGACTAGAGCTGATTCGATTCATTTTAATACCTTCATTGACGGGTTGTGTAAGGTGGGGGGGATGAAGGAAGCTGAGGAGCTGTTAGTTAAAATGAAAACGGAGGAGAGTTGTGCGGGAACTACGGTTACTTAAAATTGTTTGGTTGGTGGGTATTGCATAGCGGGACAGCTTGAGACCTTGAGATGGCTAAAGAAGTTGTGTCTCGGATGAAGGAGAATTGGATTAAACCGAATGTGGACACTCTTAATACTCTAATCGGTGGAATGCGTAGGCACCATAGAATGAACATGGCGATTGTTTTCTTTATGGTAATGCAAAGGGAAGGATTGAAAGAACATTTATCTTTAACAAAAAAAACAACGTTTTATAATTTTTTTAAGAAGCCTTAGTTCTACCATAGGAGTGTTCAAACTAATTGTTTCTTAACAAAAGTTCTTAACTTAAATTTATTAGTTAAATATTTATTAAGAACCTCATTAGGGTTTCTCCCATTAATCATGCTCTAAGGCACCCACCTGTGAGCCCGTGTCAAGCAACCAATGTTCATTCAAGCAACGGAAAACACCAAAAGTCAATGGCTTTGTCTTAATCACCCACCCGTTTTGGTTTTTCTACGACAAGATTTTTGTTGTAAGAGCATCTTCAACGCAGGTATTTAGAAGGTCTTTTAGGAAGAAAAAGTGGAGTGGAGCCCACGAAAAAGGAGGAGACGTAGCTTTCTCTTGCCAAATAACATACGGGTTTTGCATTGTTTTGTGGGCCATACCGACACGTCGCGGCCTACAATTGGCTCGTTTTAATTTTTTTTTTTTTTTAAAAAGAAAGAAGAAAAAAAAAAAAAAAAA